TTCTAAATTCCCAGTCAAGAAATTCCAATCAATATGACTAAAGTTAAAGTCTCCTAGAATTACTACATTATCGTGTCTTGTGGCCCTAACAATTTCCTCCCATAGTAGTCTCCCTTGGTCCCTATCTAAATTTAGGGGACGGTATATCACACCTAAAATTAATTTTTCATGCCCCCTCTGAAAATTCTATCCAAACAGACTCTGTATGTGTTACTTCAGACTTAATACCCATTTTTATGCAACAGTTCAAGCGATCTCGGACATACAATGCCACCCCACCCCCCTTCCCGATACTTCTATCTACTTGGAACAATTTAAACCCTGAATGTGACATTCTGCAGGCATGTCCCGACTTTTTGAATTAAACCACGTCTCAGTAATGGCAAATACATCTATGTTACCTGCACTAGCAACTACATGTAGTCTCAACTCGTCCATCTTATTCCTAGCACTGCGACTATTTGTGTAATAAATTTTTAATGACCCTCCTCTCTCTTTACCCTTCCTGCTCCTTTCTATTATTCCACTAAACCTATTACTGTCCTTGTCAATTAGTGCCACTGGCTTTGCAATATCCACCTCATTTTGCCTATTACTAGTTCTCCTAGTACTCATGTTACTACCCTGCGACTTCACAGTTTTCCCACCAAAACCCATACCACTAACTATTGCTAGTTTAAAGACTAACAGCTCCCTCCACTGCGTTGGCCAGTGCTCCCACCCCACACCTAGATAAGTGAACCCCATCCCTGGCATACATGTCATTTCTGCCATAGAAGAGGTCCAGTTGTCAATGAATGTTACCGCATTTTCCTTACAGTATTTGTCTAGCCAGCAATTGACACCAATTGCTCTGGACAACCATTCATTTCCAACTCCTCTCCTTGGCAAAATGCCACATATGACAGGTTTCCCACCCTTCCTCCTAATTATCTCTATTGCTGACCTATACCTGCTAATCAGGTCCTCACTCCTACGTCTGCCAACATCGTTGCCTCCAGCACTGAGACAGATAATAGGATTGCTCCCATTACCTCTCATGATGTCATCCAGACGGCTAACAATATCCTTCATCCCCGCCCCAGGAAAACACACTCTCTGCCTCCTACTCCTATCCTTCAAGCTGAATGCCCTATCCATGTACCTAATCTGGCTATCCCCAACAACAACAATGTTTTTACCTTCCTTGGCGTCGTCCGTCGTGATGCTCCGAGTAGTTGACTCACATTCACCAGGTAGCATTACACCACTTGTAGAATTCGTCAAGACGTTCTCGATGGTCTTCATTGGGGTTTCTAGGGATGTCTTACTCACGTCTGCCAATGCTTCTTTGGTGCTCGTTGTGGCATTCCCAGTAGAACACTCACATTCGTCAGGTAGCACCGAGAATGAGTTGGAAGTTTCCACGGTAGTCTTCTGGTTTCTCGTTGTTTCTGCCTCTCCAACCGTTTTCTTGATCTTCAGCTTGGTTCCATGTTGCCCGGCCACTGACCAAGCTCCCCTCTTAACCTGGGGACTCACAACAGAAGGATTACTACGAATCCTCTTGTTCTCCTCCGTTAATCGCTGTATCTCCATCTTAGCAACTCTGAGCTCTTCTCTCAACTGCTGGTAAAGTTGCTCAAGAGAGGGCATCCTGGTACAGATTCACAGAGAGCACACAAACAGGTCTTCACAGAGCTAAGTACACGTCACCACTGAGAGCTAAATTCAAAGTGGAAAGCAAAAGAAATGTAAGAGGGACGTGGGGATGTGGCTAATGAACAGAGGAAATGTTATTTTAGTGCCAGGAATGTCTTTCTTGTTTATTCTGGACCCTATTTGGAAATTGGCATCTTTTGAAATTTGTGTGAAATTGTCAAAATTGCTAAATTCTGACCACTTACTTGATTGGATAGTTGAAATCGGTAAATGGGTGGTTTCTTGTACTCATTCGATAGAAAAAACGGAGTTCTAGCGAAATAGTTATGATTTTTGTTGACAAGTACACTGGAATTGGCCGAAAATAGGGCTCAAATTGGGCAAAATCGCCGATGCGTAAACATCGTCAAGACCGCTAACTTCGTGAGAGCATAATTCTGTAAGTTTTCCATCAAATTTCATGCTTTTGGTGTCATTATGATCGGGAAAAGATTCTCTATCTGAGAGGGCCTGGTGACCCTCAAAGGGTTAATGAAATTAAGAGGTGGGGAATCTTTGGTGGATTCTGCTGGAAGAGAACTGCTGCTGATCTCATGGGAGAGTTCTTTGGTCCTGCAAGATTCTAAGAAACAGCACTGGAGAAAATGGAGTCCCTCACCTCAGGGATAATTACAAGGAATTCCTAATTCTGATATACTTCTTGGAAGAGGGAAGCACAAAAAATTGAGGCACCTGAAGCTTTTCATAAAGCCAAATTAATGGCAAAGGTGAGCATGCTAGATAGGAATGAATGGAGACAAGTGATTTTTAATGGATGGGCTGTTGGAGTGTGCGCAAGGTAACATTCACGAAGGAATTCGGGTAAACCAGGTGGCAAATTTTGATTTCTGGAGGTGGGAAGGACAGTGCCTGGATTGAAAGGACGGGTGGGGAGGTTGCAGTCAGAGGGAGATCTGGTGGTGACATCAAAACAATTCTGGAAAGATAGTGATTAAGTGAATGTTTTTGTGTTGGGTGCGTGTCAATGTGTCTCGCACTCTGCCTTGGAGGGAGACTGCCATTAAAATAAAATCTATATGCTTTGTGTGTGTGTACTCGCCTAATTGTGGTTGCAGGGTGGGTGGGTGTGTGTGTGTGTGTGTGTGTGTGTGTGTGTGTGTGTGTGTGTGTGTGTACATATGTGTACATGTGTGTGTGTGTACATATGTGTACATGTGTGCACAAACTTGTGTATAGCTTTTTTTTTTTTTGTCCTGTGTCATATATATGTGATCTCTATTTCTGAGACTGATAGACTTCTCATAATATTAATTCCCATTCATATATTTTTGAAGAAAGTTACTTTAATTTTGAAAATCTGGCATAGTCAGTCTCTTAAAGACCAAGCTTTACATTTCATCTATTAAAATTCTGTACTACATTATTTTTATTTTTATTCTTTTTATTACTCTTTGTAACCCACCGTTTGAAAAATAACAACCATGGGAAACCTGGGTTGGGGGGGGGGGAGGAATGCTGCATGGCAAAATTTAAGAAAAAATAAAAAAAGGTTACTTTTTAAGAGTTATTTTTTTATGAACAGTAGAATTAAAAACGAAATCAGATAAAAACTTGCCGGTTTATGAAGGGTTGAAGTTGGCCAAAAATTGTCACTCATTGGCTACATTAATAAAATCATAGTGATATTTGTTTTTCCATCTATTTATGCCAAGTTGTGTGTCTCAAACTTGGTTTTATTTTTAACCCTTAAATGGTCCAAATGTATATATACGTTTTTTCAACATCTGAAAGTATGTAAAAAATGTAGATCTTTTTTGTTTTACATTTGAAAACGTGTAAGAAAAACTTTTATCTACATTTTTTTTGTTATATTTGAAAATATGTAAAAAAAAGTAGATCTACTTTTGTAGCAATACGAATTTGAACATCGATCTGTTTGGACCGTTTAAGGGTTAATGGCTAACCTTTGTATAATAGTTTGATATTAGATAATTTAATATGTTAAAAGATGTTTGGTACTCGAAACACGAGATAATCCCCATATGGAATATAAATTATAATTTGGTATAAATATTATTTCTTTTGACTGACGCTGTCTTCTGACATCGTGTACAAGGAAATCTTATTACAATTGATTCAGGGTGTGAAATGCCCTAGAAATTTAGAAATAAGTCAGTTTGACATTCTTAGGTTATCCTGAATTAAAAATATACTGGTATATATTTCCTAATGTACTTTTTATGTGCTCATAACATGTGTATCTAAGACACTGTAAAAGGAAATATAAGGAAATTTTATAACTGGTTCAGTGTATGTTACCATTGGAAACAAGTTGAAATAACTTGTGTTATGTTGGATAAAAATATACAACCCTAAAGAATAGTCTCTCTACCATGGCTATAATTTGCAGAAAACCCACAGCTAAGAGTAGAATCCAACGATGGCATTTGGACTCAACAGTGGTCCAGGACAGACAAAAATGTCATGGGATTCCTCTCCCAAGTGCAGGGTTTTTGGTAACCTAAATGCAGAGTGGAATGTCATGCAGGTTGCTGACATGTCCTACTGGGTCATTGTTATGATGCAGTGCATGGACCTGCCTGGCCCTACATTTTTGTCCTTAGGTGTGACTAGATGGTAAGACACTGACACTTGAGGCATTAAATATTGGTTGGCATAAGGTTTGAAAGCATGAAAAATATGCTTAAATTTATGGTAGTCACAGAGGGGTCTCCTGAGTAAATTTACGGTTTAAGGATTGAATCAATCATTCCATTTGTTCACTGATTTGTTAATACTAGTTTAATTAAAGAGGCAATTTTTCTTTTAAATTTTCTATGACCATACTGTTAGTACTTTACATGGGTCATGATTGTTAATTCCAACTCCTGAGTGTTTTATGCGTATAGTGAATTTTTATTTTTCGAATTAGTTCAACCATCTCTGCAAGAGTTTAATCATTATGGCTCATAATTATTCCTTTCTTTCATTTCAACATACCTGATGCATAATATTTTAAAGCACTATTCTATTTTACTTGCACTACAGAATTCCTCTACCCCTGTGGTGATTGTATATACAGTATACTTAACTCACCTGTACAGTTATTACAATCATCCAGTCCTTGTAATGACAGCTTATATACAATCGTCTTAATTACCAACAGCCAACACAAACACAGTCAAGTGACTTGTTCAGAGAATTGCATGATCATGCTTTGTGAAAATGTTTGTGTATATTATTGCTAGTATCAAAATGTAGTTTGCTTAAAATCTCACGTTCAGCTTGTTAGTTTTCTGTCCTGTCTGTGAAGGACAAAAGCTTCACACAAAAGCTCAGCTTAATTGGTGTGTTTTCAGAGCATGGCAGCTGCTCAGCAGGCTCAGAAACTAGCCTATTCCCAGCAGGCTTATCAGCAGCAGCAGACAGCCCTTTACATGCAGCAGCAACAGCAGTTGTATCTCCAGCAACTACAAGGATACTATCAACCTCATGCCCCACCACCAGGAGCAGGTGCTGCACAAGTTCCCGGTCTGCAGCCTGGCCAGAATGTTTTGATTATGGTAAGACATTTGTGAGCATTTTCTGTTCCATTTAAGGGCCTCCATCTTACCTGATGTAAGTTTTATCAGTCTGTAAGTTGAAATTTTTAAAGAAACATGTTTGCATGTAAATAAGGCTTTTTTCAAGGTTAGGAGTAGGCTCTTTATTTACTACTATAAATTTACATGGATGGTTGCCTATTGGAAGAGTTTCCAGTGGTAACATGGCACAAGAAAAGTAAATAGAATACATAGAAAATAGAAAAAACATGGTGACTGGAGTACAATTAACACATGAAACAAAAATGGAAACTACACGAGGTTTCAGTTCTTGCTAGACCACTTGATAATGGTCTAGAACATAAGGGTCATTGTTTATATTTCTAGTAAGCTTATAAAGAATGCCAAATTCAGTGTCATTGCATGACAAATTATTTAATAATTGCCAAAAAAATTTTAGATTTTAACACTAGGTATTGTTGACTGTTAATGAAGTTTAAATGAAATGGCAAAGTAATTATTCATCCTGTTTTTATATAGATAATATTGTTAATGTTTAACAAGTTGACATTTGTTATGCAATGGGGGTCTCATAAACGAATATTTTGCTTGCAACTTTTGCTATTTTATCTAAAATAGGACCACCTCTAAGCTAATGTAGTCAATGATTATAAGAAAAATACTACATAAAGATATGAAACCCCATTTTATAATACACAGATAACCCACACTTAGAAGAAACTTGCAGTGACAAGTCTTCATGAAATGAGGAGAGGAGATGGCCAGAATATTCTGGCTTTCCCCATTTCTCTCTTTAGGGTGAATTGTCATTGGTCCAAGATGAATCAAAATTTTGTCACTAAGTTTCCTCTCCTGAGTGTAAGTTATTTGTATGTTGTTCCTTCCATGGTATTGTGACACTTTATCCTTTCCCTTTCTATAAGTTAGAAAATTACCTATGGCTATTTAAGTCAGGTTTTAACTTCAACATTAAAAATATTGCATTTAAAATGAAGATAAGTGCACAGTAAGGTATGACAAAAATATTTAATGTATTATATCTAATTTTAAGTACTAAACAGTACAAAGATAGAAAATACAAAAGATGAAGTAGTGACTTGACCCATGAACTAACCTGCTGTGATGGAAAGTTATGCAAATATAAATTAAATTATGGATTCATTATCTTAGTTAAGAGTGGTATATGAAGTGCTCCAAGCAAGGACTAATGTACAAAAAATTTAAATATTTATTTACACTTTAATCTACCTAGAGAGTAAGATATTTTAGAAATAACATTTACTCTGAAACTTGGCATACGTATTTTACTCTAAAAAGGTAGATTTAAACTTAGTGGTATAACACTAAATTAAAAAAAAAAGTTTAGTTTATCACTCACTAGTTTTTAGCTCAGAGCGCTTCATGTGTATAATACGCATCTGTGCAATCTTTTTTTTTATTCCAGCCTTTTTTTCAGAATGGTTATGATTCTGGGGCCCGTTTTGATGGCATTGCTCAACCCTCCATCCCTCCACCTCCACCAGGCATTGCCCCTAATGCTGCTCAGTTAGCTGCTGCATCTGGGACACAGGTCTCAATGACCCAGAAGAAGGGTTCCTTTTTAAATGGTGGCTCAGGTGGAGGCTACACTTTCTTTTAAGTATAATTTGAAGGAATATTTTTTTCTCCACTGAAGGTGTATTGGTTTCATATCTTAGGTCTGCAGTTAGCAAGGCAAATGACACACAGGGTTGCAAATAAAACAATGGGTTTTCAATGTTTAAATATTATAGATAATTTTCAAGTTTAGTATTTGATAATCAATTGTTGTTCACTGAGATTAAATTTTTACAATGTGTCTACAGATATTAAATTTAAAGAGGTTCCATTAGAAAATTTTCTTTTAACACAAATTGTTCCAGTACAATTGGAAGGAGTGTGGAGCAGCAGTGTCTGTGACGTGCCCCGTATGGATTATCAGGTTAACAGGTTAATATCTTCAATGTCTCCCCTTCTAAATCCCCTAGGGATTAAAGCAGTCAGTCCTCTTAGACACTGATTTGATTAACCTGCATGCATATTTGTTGTAGAGTGAGATGTTGACATCATGGTCTGAAAGTAGTAGTCAGGCACCCCTGTAGGGGATCTCCTTGGTTCAAGTGATATCTGGTGTCATTGCCTGATTTTTAGAATGCTGTTTAAGTCTTGACGTTAGAAGGGTTTAAAAGGGTTTTCAAGATTTTTGAGAGTAAAATTGGTACTTTTATTTTAATTATTTTTTTTAGCAAATTATTTTGTATACATTGCATAACATTAAAAGATGTGATTATTTTCTTGCTATATTTATCAAGTAAGAATTTTCTAGTGTAATACTACGTTCATTTGTGCAGTGTAGAACATGTATGATCACTCATTGTGTATTCTTTCAATATTGTTATCTGTTGTTATTATTTCCTGATTATTTTTTATTCACAACAATATTGAGGTAAAGATTTTATTTTGTCATGTTAAGATATAGTAGTTTAAATAATTGAAGGCCATAGTAATATTTTCCAAGATTCTTTCTATATTGCAATATTCATAATGCAGAAACATATTTTCATAGGTCTTCCTTGAAAGTATGATTTGTAATCGTTTCTTTGAAAGGAATATGTACATTCTTAATATGATCTTCCCAAATTGTTTAGTTCATCGAATAGTGTCTATATTGTCTTGTAATGTAAATAATAGTCTTGTTAAAATTATCAGTACGTACCATCAGATTAGAAATTTGGTCAATTAGTAGGTCTTGTTGCTGTTAAGAAAGTTTAATAGCATATATTCTGTATAGAAATAACAGGAATTAAATTTTGTAAAAGGAATCCTCACTTTTCTACTGTACTTTGGAAGACAGCACATTGCAGCCTTTGTTTCATTATTATACATAAACAATGGCAATTCTAATTTTTTTGTGGGTTAGGATTCTCGTTTTTCACACCCAGGGCTTAAATACCAACGCACATACATATTCAATAATATGACAATGATACATACTAATCATGAAATTGTATGTATGTATTTTTGTATATACATGTATTATGTATGTAAATATACTAGGAAGTGATAGATAAATAACTATCATTCCACTTATTTTAGGGATTCTCTAGTCCAAGAAAAGCACATGTTGTGGACCTTTCAAGAATCCCTTCTCAATTCTGGTCAGGGTGCTCTTGTAAAATGGAGTGACGTGTGAAATCCGTGTGCCAGTGACCAAGAAGACTGAATCATCTGTTGTATTTACTTGCGTGTGTGTGAACATTGCATTGAATATTAGCCCAGTTGTATTGACTAGGATGTGCGTGTGGTATCTGTATTGTAAGGAGTGGTTAGAGAAAGTTTTAAGACAGAGTATATTCTCTGTTGTTATATAGCTATTCCTTAGTACATGAGTAATGGGAATTTTGTATGCTATGGCATTATTATTCCTATTTGTATTAATCACTGCTAACTTGATGTATTCTTACTAATTAATAGTTTTGAATCTAAGAAATGTACTATAATCATTAGATATTGCAATTGTATGGTAATTCTTATGAACAATAAAAAGATTGACAAATACTTGTTTTTATACATTAGCTTAACTGTACTAAGAAGCTTATGGGCAAATATGGACTAAAGTAGGAAATGTTGTACATTTGCCATTACTCCTTTATCTTGCCAGAAGTACTTTGACAAAAAAAATCTAAAGCACTGGAACGAGGAAAAAATTTTAGTTGTGGAATTACCTATTTATATACGTTTTATTAAAAATTTATATTGCCTTTCCTTGGTGGCAGCTTCATGTACCTCATGGAGTATTTTGATCTTCATTGTCATGGCTGTACAGGAGGGCCCCATTTGTATGGTTCTTAGGTTCCCGGCCTCGAGCAATAAGCAGAAATTGCCAGTGAGTGGGAAAAAGTTTTTTTCAATATCGAATGTATCAAAAGTGCCTGATAACACATTTTTCACTATCATATATTAAGTGTTAATACAGCTAGAGATGCAAAGAAAATACATAGTACATACAATACTTGCCTTAAAATGTGGTGTTGGTTGCCCCCTCTCTCTCACAAAAACAGCATAAAAGCACAGAACATAAATCAACAAAGGCTAAATTGAAAACCAACAAAAACATGTTATATCAAAAAGAGGGTGCTGAACAGGAGGTTCGGTGCTGGTCCTGCTTTAATCAGTTGGTCTTGTGTTGCTCTTTTTGATAGGATGTAAGAGTAATGCAGGATGTGGTGTTCTATTAAGGCCAAGCGAGAATCAGTGCGCTGGTGCCATTTAGCTAGCTACTGGTAACTTGTATATACCCCTTTACTTGCCCCCCTTTTTTATAAATGCACAGATAAGCCTCTCCGTGTTGGACTATGGCAAGTGAGGGAATAGAGCTGAAAGTAAATTTTTTTTTTTTTCTCAACAAGTCGGTCGTCTCCCACCGAGGCAGGGTGACCCAAAAAAGAAAGAAAATCCCCAAAAAGAAAATGTTTTCATCATCATTCAACACTTTCACCACACTCACACATAATCACTGTTTTTGCAGAGGTGCTCAGAATACAACAGTTTAGAAGCATATACGTATAAAGATACACAACATATCCCTCCAAACTGCCAATATCCCAAACTCCTCCTTTAAAGTGCAGGCATTGTACTTCCCATTTCCAGGACTCAAGTCCGACTATATGAAAATAACCGGTTTCCCTGAATCCCTTCACTAAATATTACCCTGCTCACACTCCAACAGATCGTCAGGTCCCAAGTACCATTCGTCTCCATTCACTCCTATCTAACACGCTCACGCACGCTTGCTGGAAGTCCAAGCCCCTTGCCCACAAAACCTCCTTTACCCCCTCTCTCCAACCCTTTCGAGGACGACCCCTACCTCGCCTTCCTTCCCCTATAGATTTATATGCTTTCCATGTCATTCTACTTTGATCCATTCTCTCTAAATGACCAAACCACCTCAACAACCCCTCTTCTGCCCTCTGACTAATACTTTTATTAACTCCACACCTTTTCCTAATTTCCACACTCCGAATTTTCTGCATAATATTTACACCACACATTGCCCTTAGACAGGACATCTCCACTGCCTCCAACCGTCTCCTCGCTGCTGCATTTACCACCCAAGCTTCACACCCATATAAGAGTGTTGGTACTACTATACTTTCATACATTCCCTTCTTTGCCTCCATAGATAACGTTTTTTGACTCCACATATACCTCAATGCACCACTCACCTTTTTTCCCTCATCACTTCTATGATTAACCTCATCCTTCATAAATCCATCCGCCGACACGTCAACTCCCAAGTATCTGAAAACATTCACTTCTTCCATACTCCTCCTCCCCAATTTGATATCCAATTTTTCTTTATCTAAATCATTTGATACCCTCATCACCTTACTCTTTTCAATGTTCACTTTAAACTTTCTACCTTTACACACATTCCCAAACTCGTCCACTAACCTTCGCAATTTTTCTTTAGAATCTCCCATAAGCACAGTATCATCAGCAAAAAGTAACTGTTAATTCACATTTTGAATTTGATTCCCCATAATTTAATCCCACCCCTCTCCCGAACACCCTAGCATTTACTTTTTACAACCCCATCTATAAGTATATTAAACAACCATGGTGACATTACACATCCCTGTCTAAGACCTACTTTTACCGGGAAGTAGTCTCCCTCTCTTCTACACACCCTAACCTGAGCCTCACTATCCTCATAAAAACTCTTTACAGCATTTAGTAACTTACCACCTATTCCATATACTTGCAACATCTGCCACATTGCTCCCCTGTCCACTCTATCATATGGCTTTTCTAAATCCATGAATGCAATAAAAACTTGCCTACCTTTATCTAAATACTGTTCACATATATGCTTCAATGTAAACACTTGATCTACACATCCCCTACCCACTCTGAAACCTCCTTGCTCATCCGCAATCCTACATTCTGTCTTGCCTCTAATTCTTTCAATTATAACCGTACTGTACACTTTTTCCTGGTATACTCAAACTTATTCCTCTATAATTTTTACAATCTCTTTTGTCTCCTTTCCCTTTATATAAAGGGACTATACATGCTCTCTGCCAATCCCTAGGTACCTTCCCCTCTTTCATACATTTATTAAACAAAAGTACCAATCACTCCAATACTATATCCCCCCTTGCTTTTAACATTTCTGTCATGATCCCATCAGTTCCAGCTGCTTTACCCCCTTTCATTCTACGTAATGCCTCGCGTACCTCCCCCACACTTACATTCTGCTCTTCTTCACTCCTAAAAGATGGTATACCTCCCTGACCAGTGCATGAAATTACCGTCTCCCTCTCTTCCTCAACATTTAAAAGTTACTTACGGTACTATATATGTTTCATTCATTTTGTACTCTACTACACAAGTGCAATTTTTAACTCTTTCAGGGTCCACAGGCCCTCTCTGAGACTTGTTCTCAGGGTCCCCCAAATTTAAAAAAAACAAAAAAAAATTATTTTCTCTTATGAAAAGGTAGAGAATCTTTTCCCGGTCATAATGACACCAAAAGTATGAAATTTGATGGAAAACTTACGGAATTATGCTCTCGCGAAGTTAGCGGTCTTGATGATGTTTGCGCATTGGCGATTTTGCCCACTTTGAGCCCTATTTTGATCCAATTCCAGTGTACTAGTCGACAAAAATCATAACTATTTTGCTAGAACTCCATTTTTTCTATCGAGTGAGTACAAGAAACCACCCATTTACCAATTTCAACTATCCAATAAAGTGGTCAGAATTAAACAATTTTGACAATTTCACACAAATTTCAAAGGATGCCAATTTCCAAATAGGGTCCAGAATAAACAAAGACATTCCTGGCACTAAAATAACATTTCCTCTGTTCGTTAGTCACGTCCCTACGCCCCTCTTACATTCTTTTGCTTTTCACTTTGAATTTTTATTCTCACAAAAAATAGAAGATTTACTGTTATGCAGACTACTGCATTAGTGTAGAAATGGTATAAATAATATCAGCACACTTGTGAAAGAATATTAGACTCACCAGTTGACATGTATTTGACGCATAGCAAGATTTGTTTACTTTTGAACTTTGGTAAAAATTGAACATTTCTGTTACTTTGAGCTCAATTTCAAGGCACTTTTCATTGTAAAACCAGTCAAAATCATCTCAATTTCTGTAATATGTCTTCCATTCTATAAAATGAGACCAGGAAAACTAGAATATAACAATAAATACCATACAAAAATACAGTGCAAAGTCGCTGTTTTAATTAAAAAACACTCGTTTTTTTTTTTTTCTCATGCACTGTGTGCTCCAGGATTTTTTTTATACTGTGCACAATGACCACATAGACCCATTCTTTCATATGTAGGCCTACCAGCTTTCTCTCACTAGATTTGAGGGCGCTCGAATTTAGGCGTACTAGGACGTTACGGACACGTGCGTAAGCCATACTAGTACGGCCGAAACCCTGAAAAGGTTAAATTGCTATTGTGATTCTCCACACCAATCTCTCTTGTTCTACAACTTTTATGTTTAATACCATGCTAGGTACTTTTCACCCTCTTGTCTATAACCACAGGTCTCCACAAAGGGTCTTATTACCACTACGGAGGTATATGGCCCACAGACCTGGTCAAAATTTATACTACAGCCAACAGGACCATGAGACAAACTGGATGATCAGTCAAGCACTCCTGAGAGTATCAAGTCGAAAGATAACCTTCATACACAGTATGACAGAGTACATAGTGTGGGTAAATGTTGGTACTCCAGTGGATAACAAAGCTACGCAATTTAGGAGACGCCTATGACCATATACAAATCACGTCTTGATACATGCTGTGAGATCATCATCCTTGCTTGACGAGCATTTACTCAGTGCACAGATGAACTTCCCAAGGATTCTCAAAGCTGACTTTTTGTCTATCCTACAAGAGGACGTGCAATGTTGCCAAATTAAATTTTGATGGCTGAGAGTTCCCCACGGCCGCACATTTAGCAGGCACTGTCAAGAAATTTTGCTGAGAATAAGAATAAATTTTGGTGTGAAATACACAAGTTAAGAAAGCCTTGGGAACGAATGGATTTCAGTTAAAAACAGTAGGGGAATTAGTAGATGGGGAGCTGGAGGTATTGGGTAAATAGTGGGAATAGTTTGGGGAACTTTTAAATGTCGATGAAGAAAGAGAGGCGGTAATTTCATGTACTGGCCAGGGGAGTATAATATCTTTTAGGAGTGAAGAATAGCAGGATGTGTGTGGGGGAGGTGCATGAGGCATTACATAGAATGAAAGGGGGTAAAGAAGCTTTAACCCTTTCAGGGTCGCCAGGCCCTCTCCGAGACTTGTTCTCAGGGTCGCCAAATTTAAAAAAAAAAAAATTCTTATGAAAAGATAAGAGAATATTTTCCCGACCATAATGACGCCAAAAGTGTGAAATTTGATGGAAAACTTAGGGAATTATGCTCTTGAGAAGTTATCGGTCTCGATGTTTAAGCATCGGCGATTTTGCCCACTTTGAGCCCTATTTTTGGCCAATTCAAGTGTACTAGTCGACAAAAA